GAACATTCCAGGCAGAGCAATGACATACCCACAGAAACAAGTAGGTGAAGAAACTCCAACCAAAAAGTTACATAAATTTGCTAATTTCACTCGCATACGATTTTGAAATGCGACCTGTGGCATAATCCATGTGATACTAAACAGATGGCCCCGTTTCTCAGGTGTGTGCCAGTTCACCTGTGCCGTAAATTCAACATTAAAACTGCCGCAGCCGATCTGATAATGTACCTTGTGGAAAGGAATCATGGCTTCAGGAGATTCCAGCACACAACTCCTCAATCTTTCTACTTTTCCTTTTCCTGATGCCACAGCAGTGGCCAGAAAACTCCACCAGGGGAGTCCTGAGCTGCAGCATCACAAGGAGGATTTCCCTTGTAGATGTGCTCATTAATCATATGGCCATCTGCTCGGCCTCATAACCATGTCCAGAATTTATGTCTGGAAAACTGAATAACAAAAAGGCCCATCCCTTTAATAATCCAAGTCAATATGAGCCGCTGCCAAGTCCTCCAGAACTCAGCAGCGTTACTCCAGAAACAAGATAATAGAGAAAGAATGTGTTATGTAATGCTATAAACTAATTATTTCTTCAAACTTTCATCTTTAGATATCTAGCTCTTCTTCGTTACCTTAGCAGCAGAATAAACTCTCTCTCCTCTGCCCAGTGTCTACACCAGCACATAACTTACTGGTAAAATGGTAATATAGTTCAGGACAATTTTGTATAATTGATTGTTACAGGACAATAACAAAAGAGTTTGATTTCATTAGCTGGAAACAACGTCAAAACTATTTTATCACTGACGAGTTGAATGTGATAGTTAATTACAGCAAAAAGGGAAAACTTGCCTGAACACATGCTTTGGTGATGATTGGTAAAATAATTAAAAATCATACTCACATGCAGCTAAAAAAAAAAAGTTCTCAGATTACTTTTATTAATTCCACAAGACATACCACTGGTCCGTGTAAAAAAAAAAAAATCATCAGAAATCCAGCAAGATGAGTCAGCTGAGAATTAGACGATAGGTGAAAAATAATTAATTTTGTATCTGTCATTTTCAATAAATCAATTAAAATTTAAAAAGGAGGCAGCTACATTGGACATTGGAGGCCAGAGGTAATAGATGCTATCATCCTTCTCAGAAAGTTAATTTAAAAAGGCGATTACATTTAAATTATATGATCTGTCGTAAAATAATGTATTGCCATGGAAAGTTGTCCGCTGGCTACGAAAACAGTTTTTCTTTTTGCTTCTAAAAGTGAGGATTTGGAGTAGAGAAAATGATGAATTCCTACAAAGATTAACAACACTTTTTACATTTAATTTGACTTTTTGGCCTGATAACTCATAACTAAAATATGACCGTGCAATGGGAAGTAATATTTTTGTATTTAAAGTTATAGTATATATTATAATAAGTATATGTTGAACACATACCAAACAGCCTATTTTCCACACACAAATCCAGATAGAGCTCAGCTATCAGCCTCTGTTATCATTTTGACTCAAATTGGTGCAACAATTTTCACATCAAGGCAATTTCCTCTTTATATAACATGTTTATGCATGGAGTGACACCAGCTGACTGCTGTGTCAAACAGAATAACATTAGTACCTATAGCTGTACTTTTACTTATATAGTATTTGTCACTGTAGATAACATTGCACTAATGAGCAGAGATGGAACCAAGTTGTTGTTTTGCAAGTCTCAAGTAAGTCTCAAGTCTTTGACCTCAAATTCAATTCAAGTCCCAAGTCAAAAACACTTAAGTCCAAGTTGAGTCTCGAGTCACTGGCCCATAAGTCCAAGTCAAGTCCAAGTTGTCTGCTTTGAGCTTTAAATCATTTCAAGTCTTTTAACCAAAGTACCAAATATAGCTTTGCAATTTATACGAATTTTAAACTAAACTGTACTTAAAAAGCCATGGTATATTTATATATGAGTATTTATATATGAGTATATATATATGAGTTGTAGAAATGCTATTTTTTCCTTTTAAAATGTCTTGTCATGATCTTAGTGTAAATTATTATGGTCAGAACAGAAATACTTAAGATTTAAAAGTGCTTAATAATAGTTATTTTGTCATGAAGGTTGTCATTGAAGTTTTGTTACGCTAATGGCAAAACTGTGTCTTGGAATATGTGAGAGAAACATTAAAGATGTACAGTATGTTCGTTTTACATATTGTACATTCTCTTACATTTTTAGAATATTTCTGCTGTCATGAAATTCAGTTAGATGAACTGTGTAAATGACCCAACCCAATTACTGTATGCACATCTGAAATACGGCAAGTAAAAAAGTAAAAAAAAAAAAAAAGCATCAAGCTGCATTTTTTTATCCACTTATGTCATCTCTTTGTAAGACATTTTAATTTTCTTTTAGATTTCCAGCTAATCACATTCACTATTATTTTTTAGAGCTGTTAGTACTTGTATGAATGTATTCCTGAAGAAAAGAACTCAAAATGCATTATTGAGTATGCACTTTGAGTGGGACTCTCATTGGTTGTGATTACAGGAAACCTTATGTTCTGTGACAGTTTAATGATGTGAGGTAAGTGGAGCACAACATTCTCCAGACCAAACCACACCCCGGGAGAGACAGGCAGTGGCAGGGCATCCAGGTACTGACAGTTTCAGGTCAATAGCCCCATGTCAGTGTCATGTTGACACTTAGAGGAACGTTCGATTTTTATTTATTTTTTTTACCTCAGAAACAAGCTAAAAGATAAAAGATGTGTTATAATAAAAAATAGTGGTCTTCCTGTTTGAATGCTATAAACTAATTTCTTCTGATAAATTCAAACTTCCAGCAAATCTTTAGTTTGCTACATTTTCTGTGTTACCTTAGCAGCAGAAACTTACTGGTAAAATAATAACAGCTCGTTCTTAGTTTAGGACAATCTATACATAATCATTTGTTATAAGACAATACCAAAGGTGATGATCAGTAAAATAATAAAAATCAGCCTCACACACACACACACACACACTTTAAAACCTGTTACTTCCAGAAGACATACCACTGGTCCATGTAAACTGAAAAAATTAGATTGGAATAGCTATCAGAAACTCAACACTTTGACACTTGAGGAATAGAGTTTGAGAAGTTTTAGGAAAATTTTGAGTGCAGTAATATAAAATAGTTACCATATCTACTGAAATTTGTTTTCAAGGTAGTTTTGAGCAATGAAAATCGATTCTAGATAGATGCAGTATGTTATATTGTGTGAACATTGCAGGAGACAACCAGGTGACAAATCCTCCAATAGGAAAGTGAAGCAGTGCATCATTAACATATCAATACCATCAACTACTTCTGCTACAAATGAAACTGCAGGCCATCCGTAACTCAGTGGATATCTCTGATAAGATAAAAAAGTGACTGTTATTTGCAGAGACAGCTGAACTAGGGTTGTCAAAATAAAGTATATTTATTTTAATAACAAAAAATTGCATGAAAAGGACAAAGGTGGAACTTGCCTAAAAAGTTGTTGAAAGGTCTTGGTCCCCTATATCAGAACTAGTATAAGACTACATTATGTAATATTTAAAGGTGCACTGTGCAACTTTTCTTGCAGATGGTCAGTCAACAGCTTCTTTCCATGGGGATGTTGCCTTGAATATTCCACAGTACTAGTAGTAGTAGTTTATTCAGTCATTTTGCAGCACTACAAAAACAAAACAAAACACAACAACACATAAACTACAACTCCACTGATCATGACAGAAAGGGTTTAAACTGAAGTAAAAAGTACTTATAATGCCTAATCCTATTAAACAATGACAGTATTCCAAGAAAGAAAAGCAGCGTATGGAAAGCAAGTTTGCATTTATAATTTCACATGACTTACTGCAAAGACAAAATATAAATAAAAACAAACAAAAATGAATGCATAATTCATTCTTCATTCATGCCAGAGCTCTATATCTTTCAAAAAATAATGCTTTATACTCTTTTTTTTTAAAGGCTTCTACAGTGTTGGACTTTTTAAATCACTCAGGTTATTCCATTTACTAACCCCTCAGAACAGAAATATAATTACTTTTTTTCTTAGTTATTACTTTAATGTTTTTAAAGATGCCTGTTCTTCTAAGGTTATACTGACTCTCTCTGCTTGAATAACTCCTTTATACAAGAAGGAAGCAGATGATTATAAGCCTTGTACATCACTATCGCTGTGCTCAGGTCAACAAGATAAAAAACTAAAAAAAAACTACTAAAGCTTAAAGTACTTTTAGCTTAACAAAAAGAGGATCTGTTGGTGCAGTTGGTGTAATTTGCATGGTTAATAATCCTGATAACTTTCTTTTGGAGTACAAACATTGTATTACTATTTGATTGAAGTATTCCCCCATATTTCCACACAGTTATATAGTAAATAAAGGGAATTTTGATTACATTTTTGAGGGAATTTTTTTGGAGTCATTATAGCAACAGTTTAAGCTGTCTGAATTATACTTATTTGACTTTTTCATCTATATGAATGTCCAATAACTTATTAACAGATAATCTTTCAATTTCTATTTGATTTCTTTTTCTATTAATTTGAATATGAGTTATAGATGTTTGTTACAACACCAACCTGCAGTGAAAGTCAAGTCGTCACAACATCCCACTTTGTCAAATACAGTACCAGTACTTAAATATCTGAATTACATTTTCAACATGATTACAGCCTTCAACTAGCATCTATTGGAGAAAATGTCACTCTCTTTCAATCATTTATACTTAGAATAAATGTAAAGGCCAAGGAAACATACCTCTGTGCATAGTTGTAATGCGCTTTCTAATTTAAATCACTCAACTTCAGAGCGCTGGAATGAGAGGATTAAAAGGATGGCATCTGCAGGAGTTAGAACAGCTTAATTAGTGTGTGGGGGTTCATACAATGTGCTTGAATGAATAAGACCTCATTCACTTGTTTAACCCACTCAGCTTCTCTCTCCTCTCTGTCTCTAATGTTTACTCATTTGTTGTCTCTTACAGGTAATGTGTTTGTGGTGAGTTTGGCCTTTGCTGACCTGGTGGTGGCCTTCTACCCGTACCCCTTGGTCCTCTACGCTCTCTTTCATGACGGCTGGGCACTGGGGAACACACAATGCATGGTAAGACATTTGGCAACAGAAAAAACTAGGACAAGTGCATAAGAGAAGAAAAAGTCTCTTGTACACTATATCTTACAGCACTTTATTTACAATTCAAGGCCTAAAACGTGGCTATTTTGTAAATAAAATCACTGGTGCTGAAAGAGACACTTTTTTTTTAAAGATATTTGGCAAAAAGTAAGTAAGGCAGTGATAACCTATAAAATGATGTATATAAAAGACAAACCACTGAACTGTGGGCAGTGTAGTGGTGCAGTGGTTAGGGCTCTCGCCTCACAGCAAGAAAGTCCTGGGTTTGATTCTGGGGGCGGTGCAGAGCCTCTCTCTGTGGAGTTTGCATGTGCTTCTCATGCCTGTGTAGACTATTAATAGTAGTTCTGCTTTCACTCCTCACTTCTATTGTCTTTCATTGTTAATGTTTTAGCATCTGCAGAGCCTCCATATTTCGTGTTTAAGAAGCTCTCGTTAGCGACAGCAATTAGTTGCAATCTCCTCCCTTTCCCCATTTCAGGTTTTTAAATTAGGACAAGCATCTGATATACAAAGATACTTCTCCTGTTACTCCTTTTTTGTTTTGTTTAGTTTTTCTTTTCATACTATTACATAACATGCCTTTTAAAGAATATCACATTACATATGACATGCCTAGAGCAGTATTTCACAGTAACAGATTGACAGACTGTCCCTTCTTTGTGCTGTTCGCAGGTCAGTGGTTTCCTTATGGGACTGAGTGTCATTGGCTCCATCTTTAACATCACAGGGATTGCAGTGAACAGATATTGCTACATCTGTCACTCCTTCTCCTACAGTCGCCTCTACAGCTACCGCAACACCCTGCTGTTTGTGGCCTTAATCTGGCTGCTCACCATAGCCGCCATAGTCCCCAATTTCTTTGTGGGCTCCTTGAAATATGACCCCAGAGTGTATTCTTGTACATTTGCCCAGAATGTTAGCAGCTCCTACACTGTGGCTGTGGTGGTGGTCCACTTCCTGGTGCCCATTGGCGTGGTTACCTTTTGTTATCTACGCATCTGGGTGCTAGTCATTCAGGTAAAGTTATTACATTTTGGTAGTCAAACCTTATCCTCTGCATTTTCTACTCTTTCACTACATAACATTTTTATGATCTGGCATTTCTATACAGCAGGATCTTTCTTTTAGTATATCTCAAAATAACCCCAATATGAGGGTAAAGAGCAGGCGAAAACATTCAAAACATTGCAGAAGATGATTGTGCTGCACTCAGTATGGCTTTATTTCAAACATTTTCCAAATAATCAACATGATCTGTCACTTATATGTCTAACTGACGTAATATATCTGTGACCAAGTGTGCCTTTGTCCTATTTCAGTTCATTCATGTCATTTCACACAATTGTTCATTTACCATATCCTACCTAAACTGTTTGACATAACAGTTTGATATAATCCTGGGCTTTGTTTGTTCAGTTGAATTATTACACAACACAATGTTCATTTAAGTGTACCTTAGATGCCAGTTTCAGTTCAGTACATTCACAACTTACCTGTTTCTCCCTCCACCTGGTCCAAACAAAGAGGCCTTAGATCGTCCATTTTAAAGCCTATGGGGGAGGTCGTGGGCTGAACCTTGTGAGGGGTGAACTGCATTGAGTTCCTTTTTGCTTTATGAGTTTTTGTGTATTTGGTTTATATATTTTAGTGTTTGTAGTTTATTTTAAACACTCTGTTTGATGGTACTTAGGCCCTCAACACAACTGGATATTTAATGTACTGCTACAGTTAAAACCAAATCATTACCTGTCAAATGAATATGGTACTGTACTTACAGAGGTACTTGTTGCTGGGGAGTCTAAAAGTCAGTCTGGTTAGTTGAGTGCACATGGTTGTTCCGTTGGATTTAATTAAAGTTACTTACTTTCTGTTTATTTGTCTTAACAACGGAAGTCTATTTTAATATTTTTTTTGTTTTTAGTCTGCCTCCTACTTGACCACATCGGGTTTAACAAACTATTCTTGTAATTCACTTGTCAGTGTCTGGAAATACAGATAAAATAAGAAGATAAGAAAATAATAATAATATAGAGTAAGAAAAACAAAGTAAAGTAACCACAGTTTTCAGACATTGTCAACTTAACAACCAGCGGCCCTTACCAAAGCCTTATAATCATAGCTTTCTTCTCACCCTAAACTCTTTATTTGAACTACCTGTAATGGAGCTCTTAGTTCTTATACAAACTGGGTCAGTAACAGACAAATGGGTTTCCTGCTATTGTGACCTTAAATTTGGGAGCTTACAAAAGTCCGTGGAACATTTAAATGCCAAAATACAATGACAAAAGGCACTGCCCCATTAAATGACACAAATCACCATTTGACATTTCCCATTTGAGCTTTTTGTCTCTCTGATATTAAGGAACACTGTGTAACATTGTTTAACAATTTAGAATAAAATGAACAAAACACATGACCAGTCCATATGCAAATGGATATCAAATGGCAAGTTACCACCATCTCAAATCATCCTTCATCATCAAAAATACAGACTTGCGGTGTCAATATGTACACTCAATTTTACAAGCTGCATGCTGTCAATTGATATTGCTCTTAATAAACAAACAATAAAACTGTCATCTCATGTGTTTAAAAAGCTTGGCTGTCTCCATAATTCAAGTGTGTTGTGGGTTTGTGTTCTAATGGTGTGTCTGTTGTGGTCCAGGTGAGGAGAAAGGTGAAGACGGAGGAGAGCCCTCGCCTCAGGCCCAGTGACATGAGGAACTTCCTGACCATGTTTGTGGTGTTTGTGTTGTTCGCCATCTGCTGGGCGCCTCTGAACCTCATTGGCTTAGCCGTGGCCATAGACCCTCTCCGAGTGGGCCCGCGGATCCCAGAGTGGCTCTTTGTGGTCAGTTACTTCATGGCCTACTTCAACAGCTGTCTCAATGCAATCATCTACGGCTTACTGAACAGAAACTTCCGTAACGAGTATAAGCGCATTGTCACCTCGGTGTGGGTGACTCGCCTCTTTGTGACAGAGACGTCCAGGGCCGCTACAGACGGGAGGAGTATGAAGAGTAAGCAGAGTCCCCAACCAGCGCTAAACAACAATGAGTCTCTACGGGAACGCACTAACAAAGACTGAAGAGATATGCTTTAATTTTAAATTGTGTTCCTCAATAATGCGACAAGAAGGGTATAAAAGGAGTATGAAATTAAATGATAATGAGATTTTAACTTAAGATTTGAATATCTGAAGCTGCAAACATTTCATTTTAAGAGAAACACATAATAAGGTTTTTGTCATCTTTTTTAATGAGTTATAAATGTTGATGTTGACACTACTCAAAAAGGATTTGTTAGTGCTCTGATTCAGGTCTCAAGATGTATGCAATCTTTTTGTAAATCCCTTACTTTATAATTATTTGTCACAATTTTTAGGTTATAGTATGTAAACAAATTTGCTAGATAGACAGAATGGACATAAAACTGAGATTAAACAACCAGATGTTGGCGATGGCTAAAGGCTGAAGTATAGTTCTGCGTCAGCTCAACACACACTGCCGCCGTCGCCTTGTCGCAGTTGTTTTTGATTTATGGATCTGCGTCAAGGTCTATGCGTCGCGAAGTAATTCACCACCACAACACTAGGAGGCTAGGATTTAAAACTGGCGTTCGTGTATACAAAATTAAGCAGGAAAGTGGAGTACCGGAAATGTATATATATGTATGTTGAGCGGATGTAAAGAGGACCTATCACAGCCCTTACTGTCTGCATCAGTTTGAAGCATACTTACAACATTTCGGAGGTGCATGTTGGTCAGTGCAGATGCTTGGTCGAGGGGGTTCAAGATGATTTGACACATTACCATAAATTGGGCTTAAGAACCTGCATTGTTTAAGTAAACACCAGTACTGACAATTTCAAACTTTAATACAGTTTGGAGAAGAAAGGACAGTTCCTGCACACTGTCACACTCTTTTTTATTTCTTTTATATCTGATGACTTATACCTGATTATGGCCAGTCGGCCAAAAGTAATAAAAGACATAAAACAGAGTGAGTCAGTGTGGGAGCTTTCCTTTTACCTGTTCTCTTATGCACCAGTCGCCTACTCAGGAGTGCAGAGCTCTTCTTGTACCGTAAAACTTTAAAATAGACAGAGCAGAAGACTAGAATACACAATTGCACATGGTCCCGTACATATAGAATACACAGAGTCAGTGAAACAGCACACAAGACACTGTCAAGTCTGACAATATGCCATTTGCCAGCATATTCTTGGCCTTTGGTTTTTGTCATTGCAGTAAACAAAAGCATTTGTAAGAGTAAGCAGTTAGTGCACAGTCATGGCTTCTTTACTTTGATGTCATTTTGTCATGTTTGAATTCTGCCATGTATTGTAGCTTCAAATAGTTTGTTTTAAAACCATTGTTATATTAACATGAAAATGTGAAATCCTTTAACCGCTGTACACTCAAAGATAATGTGTGGGAAACACTGGTGAGTGAAACACTCTTTAGTAACTTCAGAAGCCTCAAACCCCCACACGCCTCACCTGAAGCGCAACATTAGCCCAGGGAGATGATCTGAAGTCTGTCATATACTAGTATGTGTGATTGGGCTAGGCACCATGACAGCCACTTTATACAGTGAGCCTCAAACTGCAGCTACTGCTGCTACTGCTGCTCCGCCTCGTCTGCTCTCTGCACTGTGCTCTAAACTTAAGTAAACTTAGTAAGTTATGACTTCAGGGGCTTCATACACAATCAATTCAGCTGTTTCTGTAGTAAGTGGCATGTGATGTAAGTTGCATCAGACGGCAGTTTCAATCTAAGAGCCATAACATTGTATTAATATAACAGCCACAAAGACTTGAGATTTACATATTGTATTGGTCATTTAGGCCATAAAAATCGAATCATTTATCAAACGTAAATGGAGAGTGGGTGATAAAACATATGTAGATGTATGTATATGTATGTGTGTTAATGTAGCAACTTGCCAAGCTAGTGCTAATGGGAATGCTTTCAGTGAACACATGAAATTAGATACTGCCTGGTGCATTTAACTGAGGTTAAAGCAAATGAGGAACCAAATCACAACTGTACATCATTTGCTCCGATGTTTAAAGGAGGATGCAGCCACACACTGAAGCTCAGTGGTGACACTGTGTTATAGGCATTTAAGCCGCAAAAGTTTGACTTTCTATGTCTTTGCTTCTAAACTCCAACTCATATCTATACTCCCATCTCAGGGTGCCTACAGTAACTATATAGTGATATAATGGTTCAGTACAGTTTACTTAAAACATTAAGGGAGAATGAAGATACACTTATGGATTATATTTTGTATATTAGTGTTAGTGTTGTTTTTAATGTTCTACCTTTTGACTGGTAATGTACACTGTGTGTTTTGATATTGAAACAACCCAACGACTGGGTGGAACATTTTGAGGTTTTCAGGGTGAAATGTCAGTCATTTTTGCAACATGTTCTGGAAGAGGCACTATAGACACACACACACAAACACACACACAAACGTTAGTGCCACAAAAATGTTTGAGACTGTAAAATGTAATGTATTGTTTTTGGACAAAGAAAAATCTTTTGAATTTCATATTTCATAGGCTGCCATTTATGTCACTTTTTCTTTGAGATAAAAATAAATGGCAATAAACAAAAAGCTTTCAAGATTTCAAACTACATCATAATATTTTGAGTTCTAGTAAAACAAATCTCTCTGTTGATGGACATCCTCTCTTTCACTTCATCTGAACAACAACATTTGTCTTTACTGTTAAAGGAAGCTCCATACAAGTGCATCTAAAACTTAAAAAGGCTAAGTTTGAAAAGTAAAGTGAAGAAGTGAAAAAAGAAGGCATCGTGGTGGGAGTACAAGTTATTATGTAGCTTCTATGAACTTTGTACAAACCAATTGTATGGACTACTATATTTCTAATAATATAATTATAAAGTTGCAAAGAAAAGCTTTAGATGCACTTGTGACTTGTGTATGAAACAAATCAAACCAAAGACATGGATAAAAGGAAAGCAGAACATGCCCTGTGTACACCTTAATGTTTCATTCAAAGCCTTACAGAGTATACAGCAGTGTCCACAACTATATTTGACAGCAAGTGCCATATTTATTTATTTATTTATTTACATTAAAGGCTATTCCATTCAAAATATATGTTGTTTGTGTATTTCTTTCTTATTTGATTGGTAGGCCTACTGCACAATATGATGATGGACCTTTAGCAAAGCAAATATATAGTATCGTCCTGTTGTGTTTACTTTCTAAAATGATGTGGGCTCCTTTACTGTGTGCTACTTCCCCCTGTAATTGAATAGTTTGAGTTGACGCTGCACTCACAGCATTAGCACTTGGGGCAGTCAACACATATCCCAGTGAGGTTTCAGCTCATTACGACTAAATCCTTAGAGCCAGTTATCCTAATTATTTGTCTTTACTTATTTTATTTTATTTTATTTATTTTTGACAAAGAAAAGCAAACAGGGCACATAATATTAAAAGCAATAAAATGATATAATAGACTACATATGATCAAGTATAGCTCTTCTTCATAAAAACAACACATGAGAAACACATACAGAGCTGAGTTACTTCAATATCAGATTATTAACACAATAAAAGTGACAACTCCCCACTGTTTATCTGAAGAGGTCATGTAAAGCACACTCTCCAACAGGTTAAGTGTACATACATAAGTAAAAATAATGTTCTAACGATCTGTATTAGGGTTATCAAAACTATTGAAAATCAGATACTAATCGACACTAAACCTAATATCAAAACTAGATACTCATTTAAGCAAGTATCGATACAAAAAAAAAAAAGAAAAAAACATAACTGGATCAAATTTTGAACAGTTTTATCAGCAGTGTCAAGCAGAAAGCAAAATAAACTCCTCACTTTGCATTGCCACATGTAACAATTAAAATCAGTTTGCAATGAACCCAAAAAACCTCTAGTTGCCCATGGCAGCTTTTGGCATCCAAAATTCACTAGTGAATCCAACCCTAATTTTACCTTTAATTTTTCGAGATAAACACATTTGAGTTTCACTATTGCTACCAGTTTTAAACCAGACACTATGAGAGACAACAGTATCATTTTAGTTCAAACAGGGAGCCTGCCTGATGACGTGCGTGGAAAAAGATACTAAATAGTGGCTTCAAAGTACTATTTCGTTCCCATAATATGGAATTCGTTCCCATGTTTTAGCTAAATTGTTCCCACGTTTTAGCCAATTCGTACACATCACTACGAGGTCAGCCCATTGGTCCGAAAGCCTGATACAAGTGGTCGAAATGAGTTTCCTCCGCAGGGTGGCTGATAAGAAAGAGACAAGAAAATCTAAAATCTAAGCCATGTCATAAGCAGATTATAAATATATACACCACAACCGTCAAGTCAATCGCCAGGAGGACTAAACCAGGACTAAACCAGGACTAAACCAGGACTGAACCAGGAGCGCAGCCATCGAGCCAATCACCTCCGCTGATGGTTTTATGTAATAAATACACTAAACTCACTCTCTCTGCCTGATCTGCCATTGTTCCAGGGAAAGACCAGGAAATGGAATTTGTTTCCAGGGCACCGGATGCCCTGGATGCAATGAGTGCATATGCATGCACATCATTATCCCGGTTATGATTGGATTTTTTGAGTGTTCCACTCCTGGTTTAGTCCTTGTTTATACCTGGTTCAGTTCTGGTCCAGTTCTGGTTTAGTCCTCTTGGTGATTGGCTCAGTGGTTGTGGCATGTATATATTTATAATCTGCTAATGATACAGCATAGATTTTCTTGTTCTGGTGTTTGTGGCTCCCCGCCCCAGCGTGGCTTTCCAAACGCATGAAAATTTCATCCACACTCCAAATTAAGAACGGTTTATCCGCAGCACATTACAAGTCATCCATGCATCTCTGCTTTGTATGGTCGGACTACTGGGCTTTCGGGCCAGTGGGCCGACCCTGCAGCGATGTGTACGAATTGACTAAAGTGTGGGATCGATTTAGTTAAAACGTGGGGATGAATTAGCTAAAGCGTGGGAACGATTTACATATTGTGTGAACAAAATGAGGCCACGATTTAGTGTCTCCTTACAAACATACATG